AGCACCTGCCCCTTTAGTGGTCTCTGCACAACCCTGATCTTTTTCGTTATTTTGACCATTCCTCATTTTCTGCAAATACTTAATTTTTGCTTAGAATTTCAAAGACATGTTGTCAGTAGTTCATAGAATAAAAGAACAATGTTCATTTTACTCAACCATATATCCATGGAAAGTAAAATCAGAGAAACTGAGGTGGTCACTTAATGTTTTTTGCCTGAAACATTTTGATAGCTCTTAAAAGTATGTGACTGAGATGACTCAAGATTTGAGCTTGTTTGTACAACGTCTGATCACAGGAAATCCACCATAAACGAAAGATTTCTGAACCAAATTAATTAAAGATTTGTTTTTCATCATCAGTCCGCTCTGGTGAAAGAATGCTTTAGATACATTGAACTCCTACTTTGTACTCTGAAAAAGACATTATAAAAACCTGAGGTCAAGCTGAAAACCTGTCAGAACTCAGAGAATAAAATGTAAGTAAGTATTCAGAATGATTGAAATGTGCTCAGTGAAAAGTTAAAGACAATTCTTACCGCAGAGGGATATAGACCCGCAGGAAACGATCAATAGCAATAGCCATCAGACACAGGATTGAAACTAGGGTCAGGAGGATGAGTACACAGCTGATGAAGAGGCATGTGTGGAATGAAGTCTCCAGACGTCCATCCACCAGCACAGCCACTGGTATGGCAACAAATCCAACCAGAAAGTCAGCCACAGCCAGAGACACAATAAGGCAGAAGGTGGGTTGTTGGATGCCTTTAGTTTTCCACAAAGCAAAAACAACCAACATGTTTCCCAGACAGCAGCAGACTGCGATGAGGACTTCCAACACGGTATAAATGACTTCTCCAGTGTTCATGGTGCTGACTGTCAGCAGCAACTCTCAGGGTAAAAATGAGTGAATTCATGATGTTGTCCAGGCTTTTTTTTTTTTAGCTTTGTGGTCTAAGATTCAAGACTACTGTGGTTTAGACCATTACCATATTCAGAAATAGCACTTGTTCACAGAAACTGTGAAATAGATGAGGGGAGAGAGGCTCTTAACCACATCCTTGATAAAGATCAACTTGATTCTTGCCTCCAAAGTGGCTGATGGGCACAAACAAAAATTAAAATATTTTTTATTATTATTGTTAATCATTTATTTATACAGGATAATCTCTTGAGACTCATGGTCTCATTTGGAAGAGACCTGTTGAACACATCACCAACAATAACATGAAAACAATAATGGTACGATCAGGGGCGCCGCCAGGAATCATGGGCCCCGTGACAACAAATTTGATTAGGCCCCCCTACAATTTATTTGAGTCTATTTGACCTATCAAAAGTGTCAATTTTAAAGGCTTGCAACTGTCTTGCTTTCTTTGGTCCAATACTGATACTAGCACAATATTTACTGCTCATTAGTTTTACATGCAGCAGTCCGCGTACAGTACGCAAGTAGGTTGCTTAAATTTTTTCTTAGTTTTAGCTTACTGAAATGTCTCTTCCCACAAACAGTCATAGGCAACATGTAAAGTATGCATGAAGTAATCCAGACTTCTCAAAAAATGCAATGTAGTTGCATTTTATTCAAGTAGCAGTATATAACTTTAATAAAAAAATATGTTTTCTCCATATTTGTTAAAGTTGTCATGTTGTCGTAGCAGTTTGTTATGAGACAGATAATCTATGAAAACAATCAATCTCCTCCATCTCCTTCCTGAGCTACTATTACTGGCCAAAGTAATGCAATGTTCAGACCAAAAACAACCAATCAGAACTAGTAGGACAGTCTTAGCACTGTCAATCAACCTCATTCAGTCACTGCTAAATGTGCTATTGGTGGAAAATCAACTTATCATTAATGGAAAAATGTTTATCTGCTGTCATTGGTAGCTATACTGACTAGAATGAGCATTCACAGCAGGCTATGCTAGCTACAGCATAGCACAGCGCAAGGGGAGGGACGATGAGCAGCCACATTGTGGCTTGACAGCTCTAAAACTCTCATGCCTCTGATTGGTTGTTTCTAGATAGCACTAGGAGAAAGCAGAAGAAATAGATTTTTCACACCATATTCAGAAATAGCATCATTGCACTTGTTCACAGAAACTGTGAAACAGATGAGGGGAAAGGCTCTTAACCACAACCTTGATAAAGATCAACTTGATTCTTATGTATACATATAATATATATAATATAATTTTAAATTAGATTATATTTTCTATTATTATTATTAATCATTTATTCATAAGAGAAAATCTCTTGATACTCATGGTCTCATTTGGAAGAGACCTGTTAAACACATCACCAACAATATCATGAAAACAATAATAGTATGATTCACTAAACCAAAAATACCATATGCAGGACCAAAAGAAGGGGTCCCATATACACATATTTTCAAATCCATTTATCAAACTTTTAAATTCCCCGATTGTGACCAGATCGGAGAGCTTCAGGTTCTGCTGAAGCAATACCTGGGAAGGAGAATAATTTTTTTGCCAAGCAAATTATGCATAGATGGAACAATGAATATAATAAATCCAGCCATAGTTAAATATAATTTTTGTGAGGAAGTGTGGCATGATTTTCTGCATGCAGGGATTATTTCTGTGTTCTCTTGCTTCCTCCTCCCACAAGAGGAAGCACTAACATGTTAGTGCATAACATGTTCATGCATATTCTAACTATACGCTAACATGCACAGTTAGTTCAAGAGACAAGGTAATCTAATAAAGTTAGTTTCTGGTGTCTAAATTACTGTTAGGTGTGAGTGTATGCATGGTTGTTTGTCTTGTGTGTCTCTGTGCTGCCCTGTGATGGACTGGCAACCTGTTCAGTGTTCTTGCTCAGTAACCACTGAAGGTAGATAATATAAACAATGGATGAATGGAACTGTGAACACAAATCAGTTCATTTTAACCTGATCGATCTCAGTTAAGAACAATTTCTTGTTAAGGATGAACTGCCAAATGACTGCTAAAATGCTCATGCTGGTAAGGGTAAAACCTGCAAACTTCAAATAGAAACAAGTTGTGAAACACATTCACTGGTATTCAGGCTTCCTCTGTTCTTCTGACTTCTGTCGGAAATGATATGTTGAAATGTTATCAACCTCCACCAAACTTAAAGCAACTTAATTATAAAAATGTCTAGTAATTTCCACTTTTATTTGTGCCCATGAGTCACTTTGGAGGCAAGAATCAAGTTGTTCTTTATCAAGGATGTGGTAAAGTGCCTCCTCATCTGTTTCAAAGTTTCTATGAATTGATGCAATAGTCAATGCTATTTCTGAATATGGTCCAAATATACCGCTTTAGTTTCAAATTATATATATGAAACTAAAAGGCTGATAGCTTCCTCAAAGCTTAAAGACCTGAACAACATCATTTATATAAAAATGTGTTTTTTGTCAAGCAAATTATGCATAGATGGAACAATGAATATAATAAATTCCAACATGATTGGAAGTCCTCATTGCAGTCCACTGCTGTCTGGGGACAGGGCTGGCCCAAGCCTCCATAAGCGAAATCTGGTTTGTGGGGCCCTATAGTTCTGCTAACAATGTGGACTGGCTGTAATCAGCAGTCCGGTCATTTGGTCATTCTCACACCTGCTATAAACTTATTGCATCTCTGGCAGTGCTGTTTACATTATATACATGCATAACAGAAGATACATTTATTGGCCAACTGATTTATCGACCAGTTGATTTCTGGGTGCCGATTTCCTAAAGTTTGGGGGATCGTGATTGGCCGATACTTACATGTGAAGCCCATCTTATCCACTAATCTTGTCTCTTGTGCTCTGCAGTGAAAGGTTTGACTGACAGACCGGCCCACCAGGTCAGGTCTGCACGTTTACAAATAACAATATTCACCCTACTGTTGCCAACAGTGACTTTCTTACTTTAGAGACATTTCAGACAAAAAAAAATTAATATCAACCAATATCAAAATCGGCAGGTCAGGCTTTTTTAAGATCAGTAACCAGGAATCGGCCAGAAAACTGCAATCGGTGCAGCCCTACACACATGTTCATAACATTCTTTGATTATTAAATAAATTTCTTTTAAGCGTTACTCCAATAGCTAAAAATTTAATTTATATCAGATGAGTCTTTTTTCAACTTAGAAGTTGATGTAAAAATAATGTTTGTTTTAGCCACAAAATGATTATGCTCTGCAGCAAACAACATATCCCCAACTACAGCTTAGAGCAGCTCATCGATGTAGCAGCCATGTAGCCTGACGTAAAAACATTTTGCTAGACAATGTCAAACATTGAGAAGTTTTAATTATTGTTATCAAACGTTATCAAACACGACATTTTGAAGCCAAAAATACCTCAAAAATATACAGAGCAAACTATGAGAATCAACTCATTAAAAGTTTAAACTCAGTTTCACGCAAAGACCCTAGCACAAATGTTTGGCTGTTGAACTGGACCGTTGAAGCTAATTTTCTATTAGCAGCTTTACTAATCTATACAATACCAAGACACATTAAAACAAACCTTTAGCTTGGCTTTTTTCTATTCTTCCTCTTTCTTTTCTACTTCTCTGAAGGATAAGTCCTTTTATGAAACATTGTTTTGCTAACAAAACAATGCCTCTGACCGAAGCATGCTGTACCTACCACGACCACCAGGAGGCCCCAAGAGCAATTTAGTTTTTTTTTCTCTTTTTATTGAAAAAATTATTTCTACATACATTATCAAATATATATATTGTTGTTACTTTAAACGAAAAGAGAATCGGCCTTTTCCAACTTTTGTCACTTACGCCTGACAAATAAAAGTCAGTCACCAAACACAGGTTTCCAACACGTAGTGTGTATTTAGAATTTTTCATTGCTGATATAAGAGGATGGAAATAACAACACAACAGCTACCGATTAAAATGAATGTTACATCCTTGACATGATCATATGAGTTCGTTTTTTTTTATGTTTTTTTTTTTTTTTTTTTTTTTACCGACAAATCGATCAGAAGCGCAGTGTAAATGGTCATATCCGTCGGATCCGCCTCTCTGGCTGCAATGCGCGCTCCCGACGCAGGGAACAAATTTTCACAGGGGAACAGAATTTCGCACAACACTTAAAAGGAAAAACAATGTCCCTTCCCGTTTATGACGCTTATGTACTCTGACCCGAATCAAATGTGTACGTCCCGTTCATGTAACTGCACAAGTTTAAAGTTTAACTATTAACCTAAATATACGTTCAAACGGTGTTTGCAAGGGTTGCTGTCTTTTTAAGCGGCTGAGGTGTAAGTCGGATTACAGAGTTGCTGTTCGATAAACTGAACAAACCGAGAAAGTTTGCGTAAAGTACAGTAAGGGTCCGAGAAGTATTTTTGTGGTGAGTTTAACATAACCGAACAATGAGTAAATCCCAATCAGGTGTTTAAGATAGGTTAGCTAGTATTGCATTCAGATTTAAGAAATTATGGTGAAGGGGAAAAAAACTGTTCTTCATGCTGTTTGTGATTTTGACGCAGCCCGAGATTACTGCGTATTTGACTATAAAAACATGATAAATCTTTGTGTTTCCTTTGTACCCGCTCGCTCACGAGCTACTACACAGCCTGGGTTAGCTTGTGCAGTTTTAGCAAGCTAACCCAGTATTAAAATCCAAGCAGAGAAAGCATGGAATTTAATACAGCACGACTGAAGTATTCCTACCAGCTACTCCAGTTATCTTTTCTGAAATAGGTAGACCTTGCTCATTATTTTTACATGTAGTTCTAGCATTATGTACTTGATTATATACTTGGTTTGAAAATTAATCTTAAACTTCTTATTCTTAAATCAACAAATCCTATAAAATGCATATTCAGAGAAACAAGCACATTTTATATTTAGGGAATTGAAATGCTGCATTTCGAAATCATTTAGCATAAGGAAACAATTTGAAACTTTCACATCTTTATTGCACTGGAACATTTTTGTTAACTGAAATAAAAATAAAAATGAGAGTTTACAAAAAAAGAGAGAACAACTAACAAAATAAAAGTGTTCACAAAATTAACTGAATTTATAGCTTAGTTTATGGCTTTGTCTGACATTGTATGAATGTGCCACATTATGTCAGCAGATAGCAGGTACATCAGTCAAGTGTTGCTGCAGTCCGTCCACACTTAACATGCCAGCTACAGTTGGGAGAAAGTGCCAAAGTTCAATTTGAGATATCTTTGAAAATGACTGAAACTTAGATAAAAGGGAGTGTCTTGTAGTGGAAGGAAATAAGTGACATTCTTAAAGGGGAACAAACCCACAAATATTAAGGATCACTTTGATTCACCCCTTCACATTCACAGTTAATTTCAGTGATTTTCTTTTTAATCGGTGTTTTAAGTGATAGCTAAACACTTAAAACATTGTACATTGCACCAGCTTCCAGCAGCTGCCATGTAATACCAGAATATGTGCAAAATATCCAAAACATTATCCTCATGATGGCTTGGCTGCTATGTTGTGGTGCTATCAGTCAATTTCAGTGTTTTCTGTAATGTAACACCCGCATTTAATGTTGCGCTTTCTAATGCGCAAATTGAAATTAATCTGAATTACTTTTAATTTGGTTAATCTGCATTAGCTGCTTTGCAGTTGCTGTTACTGTGCTTACTGAATTTTCGACAGTTATAAATATTTCTTATACTTGCCTGATATTTATGGCTGTTCTGCTTTAAATTAATACATAAAAGAAACTATTAGCAATTTCTGGGATTTATATTTTTTACTTTTCTACTTTTCCAATCTTGCCCCATACTATGTAATTCATCTTACAAAACAGATTTAAACTAGAACTGAAACTAATAAAAACTAAAATGGAACCAGCATTTAAAATAATAATAATAATTAATCAAACAAATGGTTAGTTACTAGGAATCAAAGGTAAATCTTAACAGGTGGAGTTTAACCTTGATTTAAAGGACCTCAGTGTTTCAGCGTCTTTGCAGTTTTCTGGACGTTTGTTCCACATTTGTGGAGAACAGAAACTGTATGCCGCTTTTCCATAATTTGGTTCTGGAAAAGATACAAGATAGATAATAAAAAACTTACAACTCATGCTTCTTCTTTTTGCTTTTTCCTGTAGTCATGGAGCTGGTGATCCGCCGCTACCGTCCCTCAGACAAGGACACGGTGCGGCGCCTGTTCAGCAACGGCATCAGGGAGCACATCGGCCCATGTTTTCAGAATGCCATGACTAGCCCTCTCCACCTCACTATTATCCTGTCTCTGGGTGTGGTTGGCTACCTCCTGGGCTCTTTGTTTACAGCTCTGTTGCTGTCAGCAGCCTGGGTGGGACTCATCTACTGCTGCTCCTACGACCTATTCGCCAGGTATGTCTCAGCGAAACTGAAGACAGACATGCAGGACATCGATGGGAGCTACCTGAGCAGACCAGATGACTGCTTTTGGGTGGCAGAGGCTGAGGTCGACGGGGCAAAGCAGGTCATCGGTATGGTGGCTGTATTGTGTATAGAAAGTGGGAATGAGAAGCATGGGGAATTGTTCAGAATGAGCATCTCGCCAAAGTCCAGGCGGATGGGACTGGGCCGTAGGTTGACTCAGACTGTGATTGATTTCTGTAAGGAGCGAGGCTTCTCCAAGGTGGTGCTAGAGACCACCTCCACCCAGATGGCTGCTGTGGATCTGTACAAAAAACTGGGGTTCAAACTTGTCCTCACACACACAGAGGCATACTCTCCCTCCTGGGTGCTTGCGTTGGTCCAAGTCACCATTTTAAAAATGGAAAAACTTTTGTGAAGCTACAGTTTAGGGTTTGCCTCTGTGTCTTACTTTGCACCTCCTAAAGAAAAGCCTGTCTTATAAGTGGTAGCTTTTCCACTGACATGGGGACCAAAAGTATTTAACTCTGATTACGATGCATTCACCATCATGACGTTTGGTTGTCTCCAACTTATTAAAAGTAGTTCTAATTTCTTGTTTACACTTGTTAAATGTTTGATGCATGACATTTTAACAGTTTACTTCACTCCACCTATTGAATATTATTGAGTGTGTTATTAATCTGACCTGTTTCCACTAACTGTTTTTATAACAACCAATTTTGTTCTCCTGACAAAAAGTCTGCACTAAATCTGAAATAAAGATTATTTTTTTCTAATATGTTGCCTTTATTTGTATTTTTTGTTTAATTTAGCAATAGAATAAGACAAAAACATTTCAGTAAATGAACCCTGACCTCTCTACCGTTTGTCCTTTCTTCCATTCCTTTCTTCTTTTCCGTTAGACCTCACCACTCACCTTCAAGCGCTCTGTCTGTTTAGCTTAATCAGCCTGACCTACATTCATAATGCTGACCCGTTGAGATTTGTGTTGAACTACCACAATTAAATCAAAACCATTGGCACTGTTGTGTGCATTTTTGGTTTCAATCAGATCTTACATTTATACAATAGGTATAATGCCACAATTTTTAACTGTTTTATTGATGCGTCAAAAGCGTTTGATTATGTAAATTATGAAAATGTGTTTTATAAATTGCTTTTAGAGAAAATCCTAAATAATTAAGAATCTTGGTGTATCGGTATGCTCTTTCTCTGACTTCAGGTTGGGACATTACATACTCCAATGCATACTGCCCACCTGTGGAGGCATCACAGAATAAGCAGTAAACATGAATTTCAGGTGGCATGTAATGATGGCAGGAAGATGCTGCTTGACGTGCTGGGGTGGAGTAGTACCAGTCAGATGTTCATAAATGTCAACTTGTGACGCTGTACTTTAAAACCTTATGTCCAGATATATGTGTAGGCTCTGTAAATAGCTTCCACATAGGGATATGCAGTTGTCATATCATTTGTTTTTATTGAGAGTATATCGTCATGGCGATAAACACTTCAGTATGATGTTTCCAAAATCCAAACACTTTTTATTGCTTAAGTTATTACTGTTACTCTTTTTCCCAGTTGTTTCCATGACAGCAGTGATAAATATTAATATGTTTTAAATATAAATACCACAATAGCCCAGCCGAACTCTAACCCATGTGAGTTAGCTTCAAGAAGCTGTTATTCCAGATGTAGGTGTTTGTCGTTGGGAATGTAAATTATTATAAATGTAAGACATAATCCAGGTAGGGACACTTTTAAAGCCACGTATCACAGTGACGTTTTCCAGGCCCCGGAAAGGTTTCCACAGTATGTCAGTTATAAATATTAATACAACATATACAGTGACAATCAGTAAAATACTATTAAACCCAAAACGCTGTATAATAAGTCTGTGAGGCAAGAAATACATTTTTTTTCGTACTTGTCCATTTGTTCTACAAACATTTTTATGCATCTCTTATTTTAGTAACAGCAAGCAAAAAGACTTGACAGTAAACCTGATTCAGATTAGATATGCATTTGTTGTTGTACCTGGATAATATTTGATATATAAATTATTTTTACATATATTTTTTAAATCACTAATCTGTTACTGTGGACCAACCAATGTTAAAATTAAACAGTGACATATTTTAAACAGATCTATTTGTAAGCACTTTTAGTTTGTTGGTGTCAGAATCACTTTCAGTCTAACACAGCAGAGGGCACTGCTTACCTAAGCAATGCAGCAGTTCCAGGTTCAGAGCCTTTGCAAAAGTATTGATACTGCAACATTTTCTGCATGTTGTCATATTATAACCATAAAGTTCAGGGCATTTTATGTGATCACAATCTAAGATTTCTGTTTGCAAAAATAATTTTAAACACAAATATCTACTATACAAAAATATAATTATTATTATTACAATTATTGTAAGTATATTTTTATTTATTTTTTTGTTATTTTTATTTATTTATTTATTTATTTATTTCATTTCTTTTTTTTAAGATACTGTTTATCCAGATTCATTTAAATTGTCCCTATTGTGAAAAAGATGAAACTGTTCATGTAAATTTCTGTTACATGTGTATTTTCATTCTGTCGGTAGGTGGAGCCAAATGTTCAAAATCATTTCAAGAACAGACATGAAGAAGAAGTTCTAGGGACTCTTCAAAACTCTAATACCAAACAGAAAATACAATAATAAATGTACCAAAAAAAAAAAAAAAAAAAACCTTTAAACACGGGTGAGATTTATTCTGACAATAAAAGCTACAGCTGAATTAGACCCAGAGGAAATATACTGTTGTAATAACTAGCATAACACATTATTTTTATTTTTATTATTAACTGATATTACTATAAGCAGATGGCCCTCTTTATTGTGTTTTAAAATGTGTACAGTCAAAGAATCGTCTGGATTTAATTTTTTTTTCCAGATTATTTGCCAAACAAATGTTATTTTATAGTATTTACCAGAAGGATTGAGTGCAGAAATGGAACAGGATTCTAAAAACAGAGACTTTTACTGTAAACTGAAAGAAAGGATGACAAAAACTGTTACCGGGAACGATAGGCTTTGCTAGCCAGTACAGATCTGATCCAGAAGGATAAAAGAGGCTCTGATATAGGTTGTAAAAACTGGGGAATACAAGACAAAATACATTTAAATAGTAATAACGACACAAAAGAGAAGATAAAAGATATAAGATAAAAAAACAGCTGCTTGTGCTGTCGTATTGTATACATAGGTAGGATTATTTTGACATCTAAATCACTTCAAAAACCACCTAAAGGATCTTATTTATAAAGATTTATAATCCAAAACAGATATTTTTTATGTGTACTTGGGAATTAGTATTTTTTTATTCATAGTTTTTATTTATTCTCAGATCAAAATGCGTTAAGTCAATGTTTAGTCTGATTATTTTATACTCTAATCATTTGGGACAAATATTTCAAGTGTTTTCATATTAAATATTCATTTGTTAGACATGACGTTTCACTAGTAAAAGGAAAAAAAAAACTTTTCTATTCTAAAGTAGCATCATACCTCAAGCCCACTTTTTTGCAGTGATATCACTAATTAGCATGTCATCATCATATAAATACCAGGGTTTTTTATTTTTTATTTTTTCAAACTTAAAGTAAGTTTCTTGGTAATGATTCCTTTGTGGGTTTTTTACTAGAAGCTTTTTTTCTTACAACTGTACTTTTTAAGTTATTCAGTCTTTCCAAATCAACAGGCATGAAAAGCACACCTCGTGTTTTGTGTGCTGGTATTCTACCTTCAACCTGCAGAATACCAGTCAACAACTCACCCAGCAGGACAGATCTCTGCTGGCGCTTTTGAGCAACATAACTATGCCACATTATATGACCTTATTTACTACTACGTGGAGAGGAAAAACATCTAGTTAAGCTCGTAATTAATGTTTTTTTTAAATGTTCACAATGAGGATTTTATGTTGTTGATTTCGCTTTATGAGACCTGTAAACGTATTTTTGGACGGTCAGTCAACTATTTCCTGTTTTCTTTCTCTTTTTATTTCCATGTGAAAAAAAATCTCGTCCTTCTTTAAAACTCTGAATTGTTTTCTCCCTCTGGCTTTATTTAAAAAAAACACACAACCTTTTTGGCTGAAGCTAGAAATTGGTTTTGGTTGGGGAAATTAGCCTGGTTTCATCACATTAAGCACTTGAGAGTGACATAGGTCTCATCATAAAATATTCACACAAAACTTCAAACATAGGTCTCATATTTACATTTAAATTATTTAAAAAAAAAACTGCAACAAAGTGCAGTGCTTTTCACTCAAATACATTTGTTACAGGCAGATAAATTGCTTATATTTTCTTTAGTCAGCCCAGGTGTTACCACTGACATAATTACTATTCAAATTTTCTTATTTTAACTCCCCTCAGGAATCTTTAAAGGTTTCTACATTTAAGGCTGCTATATTGTTTTATAAATTATTTTTATCACTCCAGGGACATGTGGAGTGCCACAGGGTTCAGTGCTTGTGTAGGCAAGTTATTTAAAATGAACATGACTGAATTGTTTTAAAACTTGGATAAATTTGGAACGTATGTTTTTGATTTGGAATATGTCTGTATGATTGGATTGAATTGAGTATTTTGCAAAGTTCCTTGATACAGCATGTACTGTGAAGTGACATAATTTAAAACTGAATTGAATCTGATGATAATTTAAAAAAAAAACAGAAATGATGTTTTTGATACCTAAGACTGTCTTTGTTCTCAGTGAATCTACGGTTGAACTCTGTCGGTCTGTGCAAAGGTCCTTTATCTCGTTCCTCTACCCACAAACCCAACACAACTTGTTTTGAGTTCATCTCTACACATTTCAGGTGAACAACACTTGGTCCTTCTCCAAAGCAAAGAGAATGATTGAGAAACCAAAGGTAAAGTAACTCTAGCCTGTGTTATAACACTTGGCAGTGTTTTTGTGTGCTTTCCTTGCCCATCAAAGACTGAGTTCACCATTTGTAAAACTCCAAACAAGAAGACCGTACAGAATCTGTGTCAGCTGTTAAAGGGGCAGAAGAGACAAACATATCAAGGTCTGCGCATGGTTAAAGGCCATGTATAAAAGTCAACACACAGCATGTCCACAACACGCTATGTTTAAAATATTTTTAATCAGCACAGCTACAAATGTGATGGAGGACAAAAAGGGATGTTTTCTTAAACCAAAAAAAAAAAAAATGATTGGATAAAGTTTGATTTTTACAGTGCTACAGAAGAAGGACAAATATAGGGTTAAATTGGGTCGCAGCCCTCTGGGTCATTGCCTCTGCACTTTTGCTTTGTCATGAAGGGACATTTAACCTTGCGTGTTATCAACAACACATTAGCCAGACCAAAAAAAAAAAAAGAAGAAGGAAAAAAAAGGAATTGCAAAAGAGATTTAAATCCCAGCTCGGGGGAGGGGAAGTGTTTTATTTTCACATCTTCTTTTGCAGAATTTCAGGTAAACCTGCTGGTTGCCTACATGTGCCAGCTCAGATTTGATCAGCAAAAATAAGTTAAGAAGGAATTTGAATTGTATAAGTGATTTTATTAAATTAGGTCAGAATCCAGCAACAAATCAATCAGTCAAATTTTATTTGTATAGCACATTTCAGCAGCAAGGCATTTCAAGGGGCTTTACATAATTAAAGAAAAAAAAAAAGAACAAAGTAGGCAGGTCACATTGATGTGATAGTAACCAGTGTTTGCATGACCTTCAGCCATTTGGGTTAATTTTGTGTAGGTGTGTGTGTCTGTCT